ATCCATCAGGATTCGAACCCATGACCACCAGCGGCTTGAACCGCCAGCCAGCTGCTTACGACACTGGGTCGTGGGGGACAGCTGCGGTGCGTCATACTTTGCAAGCCTACCGATATGTCGCGTCTTGTTCTCCATTGCCATGCATGTTACGATATTGCAGAGAGCAGGGTCGGCCCCGAAAGACACGACGTCCACTGACAATAACTATGTACGACATACCAATTAAGTACGTCGTATTTACTCAAGTTGCATGCTTAACCATCTCTAACTTCGGTCGCGTGCATTATTGCTAATTAGTTTAACTACTTATAAAGAGTAAGGGTAGTTTATGTTTTTTTCGAAATTCATGCTAAAGGTGGTTTGTTTGCTCATCATCGTTACCCTCGACCGAAATGCCGACACAATAGCGTTTCCAGGTATGACACGCGTCTGCTATCGCTAGGACTCCAAACGTTTTTTCAATTTGTCACTCTTTATTATTACAAAATTTCGTCGAGCTGGGAATTCAATCTGACTTCTCTCGCACATTCCTTATCGCGATTAATGTCACCCATTTGAGCGCGCTATATTCTCAATTAAAAGATACATCATCGGGATAAATGGACTTCATACAAAGTTTACAATTCTACTCAGTTGTTACAATCTGCTTAGTCATGCGTGGATTTACAGATGCAATAGAGCATTCGCCGAAAGGTGCGGCGGAATATGGAATTGAAGGAATGATACACAACTGGATTTAGCATTGAGCTGAGGTATCCGAGCCACTCCAAGTGCGGAATCACTGGATCTGTCCAGTCTTTACATTTGTCACATACCACATTTACAGTGTACACGAAGAAAAAGGGGGAGTAACATGTCACAAATAAGCCAAATAATACACCGATTACTCGCACAGCTCTTGTTCCATTGTGGATGCGATCTACTGCAATTGCTTGTGTTGGTGTTACTTTAACTCTGCTTGATTGTAACAGCACTCCTGCCTCGAGACAAGTTGTCCTTGAGTTGCTGCTGTCTGTTCTGTCGATTCCCAATTGCTTTAAATTTGACTCTTTATTTTTGTTTCCTGCCCTTTCCCGCTCCATCACTGCGTCATATTCTGTGCGTCCATTGTATTTATACACATCTACAAACCCGTCTTTCGGCGTGATAGCTTCGCGCTCCTTTTTAGATTTGGCATCCCCTGACTTCCTTCTTTGACGCCTTAGTTGATGACTCATGCATTGATCTTCATCTGACTTCTCTTCAGTCCCTCCTTGATCTATCCGCTTGGGCCTCATCTCTTCACTCGAGCTCCTGGTTAAAGTTCTACACCTTTTGACCGCTCTTCGTGACCGGTCCGAAAATTCCCGTTTCAATTCGATCAACTGTGTGTTTAAGCTTGCGTGCTGTTTGTTTGTTGCATGTAATTTTATGGTTTTTACCTGTTTCATGTGGCGCTGCAAGCTTTTCACCGTTAGGACATAGGTGCTTGTCATGATTATCAACGGTAGTACAAAAGTTACTCCAATCGCTGTTAGGACGAAACCAGGATCATTCGGTCCACATCCTTTGTACGAAGTGTTTAGTAAAGATGCGTTCGTTCCTGTTCTCACTTTTTGATAAGTTACGTTGAAGTTGTGCTGTTTTTGCTTCTCTCCATCTCTGTATATTTCACTTTCTTGCTGACTCAATGCAAACACAAACAACGGTCCGGCTATGGAAAATGGCACAAACCATGACATGAATATCCTAAGGACTAGGCTACTGCACACTTTCGGAAGAGAACTGCGGCGTCTGAATGGTCTTCTAAGCACCAAATATCGGTCCAGAGAAACGCTGCACAGATGAATAATCGTCGTAGCAGTGAAGAATATATCCATGCTGTACCACACGAGACAGAATGTCGGATTCTTGTTCAGTCTACCTAAAACGAACAAACAAATACATTGCTCCTGAGGCGTCACTTTTTCGAATCGTTTTTTTTGTTTTATTATCTCAAGCTACACTTGCTCAACCAACTTTCTTTACTACAGATCTTTGTTGCTGCGCAGTCGGAATCTTTTAACTACATACCTAAGTGCGAGAATATTCTCTCAGATATTAGAATTAGGAATTAGCAAACAAGCTTGTGTTCACTGACTCATCATTATGCTTATTGCATCGCAAATGAGGGGCTAGAAATATTTTGTCGCTAAGGCAGATGATTTGTCCGATCAAGACCAACTCAGTACACAATGAAATTTCTGTGTGGCTTGAAACAGGAAGGTCTACTCAGCGTTGACGTTTTCACATATACTAGACCGGACGGAACAATGATTCCAAAGCTTCCTAAGGTGCATAAAGGAGATTGCCCTTGTGGTCAATATTATGTATGTGTATTTCCATTTGAGCCGATGAGACGAACTGAATTAACCGGGCCGAAGATGTTTTTGTTGGAGATGCCACTTTACATCAACGTTGCATTGGAGAAGACTGTAGACAGCTTCTGTGACTTCCTACAAGTACACCATGTCGACTACGGCATTCCACAAGATCAGTTGAAACAACTATTGCTTACATGCAGTGAAGAAATTCAGATCCAGTTTAACTGGACGCTTTATCGACAAATAGACGTGGTGTCACCATTAGGACCGTTACTCACGGGCGTATTTAGCAGCAAATTTAGAACAACCATTAGAACTAATCTAGCAGCAACTTGGTATGTAGACGATTTTTTGTATCGTTAATATTCGGGAGTGCATCGAAGCTGTGTCGACTCACTACAATTTTGGCAACAGTATAACCTTTAATGTCTTTGTTCGATTCTCAGATCGACAGTACATCAGATGTGTCAGTGCGAAAGGGTGCAGAGAAAGAAAACTTGAAATAAGCTGCTACTTTTGATTCAATAGGTCTGCAACGGAATCTCGCCTATTGCTTTACAGAGAAAGCAAGGATGATATGCACAGAATATACGCTCTCAGATGGATCCATTTTCATCCGAAAGGTGTTTAGGCGGGATGCACATCTTGAAAAATCCTTCCAGAACCACATGGAACCTTGAGTGTCAAAAGTGAAACCTGAATTCACAGAAACACGGTTAATATACCGTTTGTACTTGACACTATAGTGGAACAGACTAGCCGAAGACACTACGAGAATGTACTTTGCAGCCGCTTTATGCTCTAGTTTCACCTTATCCCCAGATCTTCACCAATAGCTCAAGGACAAGAAAGTGTGGTCACAACTTTCCTTTCTGCGTGCGATTTCTGCTCGTTTTGAGCGAGGTATATTGGGAAAACTGCTGGGCGACTTTCTCTCAGAACTGGTGGACATTATTGTGCTTGGTTCTACAACGATATAAGGAGAACCATAACGAATGCAATGTTACCATACATGTTGGATTCTTACCACCTAATCAATTCATTTGATGACTTCCGTGTATCTTAACTCCCCACACGAGCGGCCAAAGATCAGTTACTGGCCCCATCAGAGGCAGTCGCATTTCCACTTCAGAAAAGACCTAAGCAATACGCAGGTACGCAGTATTGACACTTCGCTGCCTCACAACCACCACCGGTCGCACTTGACTAAGAATACTACGGGGGTCGCGCGGTCCCTACGCAGGCTCGAACCCGCAGCTGATTACAAGACAGGCTTTCGGTTTACCTTGGTTGTAGGCCGCTTCGGATAACAATGGGATAACGGCAATTCCTCCGAATTGATCTCGACTAAACCGGTCACAGCACTATCGATTAGACATTTCCATTCGTTGACTCACTACATTTAACCTCTGTTTGCATGTTTCTAGTGCTATCTGTTGTGGTGATGGTGAGTCACTAGAAACAAGCTGGTTCATTAATTTTTGGTCCTGATATCTGTTTCACATTAAGTCATTCTTACGCAGTTTCTCCCTCTCACACTATGGATAAAATTTCGTCTGACGTCCACCTAACTCCTGAGGATATTATGGCTTAGTGATAAGGCTTGAACGCCGTGCTCTTGGATGCCCACTTGTCACTTAAATTTTCTTCCGATTGCGTAACACAAAAGCTAGTTTTCTCGCATTTTCAAATATCCGCACTTTTAAGTACATCTACAACGTTCATTCACTTCTCATGGAAGCACCAATAACGTAGCGCTATTGGACCCTTAGCTCCTGCACTCGTTTTTCTGCAAACGCGACTTTGTCGTCTAGGTTTGATGAGTTTTGCCTAAACTTGCAGACTCATTTCATCTTAAAAATTCGAGAAATGTATGCCATACATGACTGTCATTTTGATTCGAACAGTGGGCGACCATTATGCAACCATTTGACTTACCTGTTATCATTTGCCATGCTGACACAGGCATAACCAGCACAGCGCACAGTAGATCACTGATCGCGAGGGAAACAAGGAATATGTTGAATCGGTGCTTTAATTTCCTTTCGTGGCACACAGCTAGGCACACAAATATATTCCCCCAAAAAGTTCCCAGTGGGATAAGGTAGAGCAGTGCGTATTGCAACCTCATGGGCTGCTCCATGTTCCACTGTTTTATACTCCGCTTCGTTTTCGACTGGTATCGAAAGCAGTTGCCTAGTATCACTGCGTTAAACTTCCAAGCAGTTTTGATATCGCCTTGCAGTTCGCGGATTTATTGTGAATTTCAGCTTTACTTATTCGCTTTCCACCACCCTGACGATCCTCGGTTGTATTCTTTTCATTGGTTTTTCCCACACTGCCCATTAACCAATCAGCTTCCAGTTTTTTCGTATCCGCTGCTGCGGTCCCTGCATGCCTTTCGTCAATCGACCGGCCACACTGACGTCGAGTTAAAGCATCACTACTTCTTTCAATCATGTGACTTTTGGTACAACTTTTTAACGAAAATTGCCTTCATTCTGTCAGTCGACCAGCTACCTTTCTGAGTTGTTGGCATACTTTGCACGGATTTCCGTAGCTGCGTTAGTCTTTTGCAATTAGGTTCAGATGACGCAGCCCAACGTTTACTCGCCTATGATTGCTTACGCATTTTTTTGCCCATTTCCTACTCGACAGCTACATCCTACCGATGCGGAGATACAAGGAGCACGGGCCCGGATGTTATCAGCAGCGAAGAACTATCGTCCATTGGCGCCTTCTTCTTTAGCATTTGCCAGCTCCGCTACCGTCAATTCTTCTTTGAGTCACTCGTATCCAAATGAAGGACCTCGTATTGAACCGATCAATGGTGGACCTCCTCAGAACCCTCCGTTCTCCACAGGTTTGGCCACCACTCCTGGCATTCATGGAACGCCTCTCAGTGGCTGGTTATCAGGTGGCCCCACACCGACTGTGGATGATTCCATTGTGCCTGATTCTACTCCCAGTGTAAATGCGGTGGACACGTCCTCATTCGAGATAACTGATGATAAAGATCTGGACGACATCACGGATTCTTTGGTTAGTCATCCTTTCCCTCCGTTTTTATCAACTATGTTTTTTCTCCCGCTTTTTATCTGTCGAACGCTTGGTTCACATTCCTTGTGCTGCTCTCCCGTGTTTCATATACTTTGCTTACTTTGCATTTAGAGTTATATCTCTCCTACGTTTCGCTCTTTATCTACCCAAAGCCACTCATCAGTCCGATACACCGGACCTTTTCTCATACCAATGTATTCAGCCACCGTCGTCCACCCCGCGATATTAACGCACCCAACAATTGGTTTTATCGTCTGATTTCGTTGTCATTCTTTTACGACCCTCGCAACTTCTGGATTTTCATTCTCGTGGCTCTCGGATGTGGTGTTTCGACCATTCTCTCTTTTATCCTTAATTAAGCAACGTGCTTACATTTTATAATCATTTTCACCCACTCAAATTCTTAACGTTGGTAGTTCCTTCACTGAGTTCCTTCATGCGTTTATTCGTGGCGTGCGTACTTCGTTCTATTCACCCCTTCTCACTAGCTCATTCTAACCGTGTAAATATTTTGTCTCTCCTTGTGCTAACTACCGTTGTTCACAAGAGTGCTTCCTATTTTATTCCCTTATCTGCATGTTTCACAGTATGAAAACAATCAGAAGTTGGATCTTTGTTCCGCCCTTATTCGATGTGGGGATTGGACCAATGCGCAGACTATACTCGATCACTTTCCGGGATACTGGGCCACTGGCCATGGTCCTTTATGCAAGTCGATTTGCGACTTGCTTCACTATTTGATCGAGCCACTGTACTCCAGGTACTTAATATGATACGGATTGTTCCAACCATCACTGCGCCGCTTTTCTGAGATTCGCTGCTTTTTTTGTACCCTCGCGCATGTGTTGGCCATGACCTACTTATGTTCCCTTTCCCCATACTTTGAGACTGCGACTGTCGAATTATGAAAAATCAAAAACATTTAATTGCGAATCGTCAGTGGTAGTGTTTGGTTACTCCTTTTTCGGTTAGGAATTCGTATTACTCTCATTATTTCCGGGTATATGATGTATTTTTTACATTGGATATGCACCGTTTCACAAAAGCAGAGGTTCCCGAAATAATCGTCGATACGTGTTTTAAAACACTTTACAGAATCGATCTCTGTTAGTCCTTTTGGTAGTGTATTCCATAAGTTAACGATTCTTCTTTCTATACAAAGTTGATGTGATACTTTGTTCATGCAGGGGACCCTGAGTTGGTAACCGTGTCCTCGGGTGTTACAAGGTTTCCGCAGGTGAAATATTGACCGCACTATGGGGAAGTGATTCAACTGTAGTACTCGATGAGTCATAATGTCAATTCTTACTCGGCGGCAGGATAGTGTGTAGAGTCCGAGTCTTTCACAGCTTTTCATACGGGAGCTTTCGTAGACTGCGTATCATTCTAGGTGCAATGTGCTGTATTTCTTTCAGATTTTCAGTTTACCCCTGAGTTATCGGATCGTAAGCTGGGGTGCCGTATTCTAGGATTGGTCTAATGAGCGAGGTGAATAGCCGAGGGACGGTTTCTTCGGACCGTGTGGATAAACTGCGTTATAATGCCCAGTACATACGGTACAATTTCTCTGTATTTTCTAGTGATCTCATATAATGTCACGAGAACACTCCTAAGTCTCTGACAGATGTGTTGGGGTGGAGCAACTGGTCGACCAAGGTGTATGATCGAGTGGTTGCACGTTTGGTGATACTGATGAACTCCGACTTGCTTGCGTTAAGAGGGAATTGCATTCCAGTGGACCACGTTGACAGTCGATCTAAGTCATGCTGGGGGCGAGCGCAATCGTTCTTGTTCCCGTTGCTCCTTCAGATTTTCAATCATATGCAAATTTGGCACATGGTAACTGTAGCTGCTACGGGAGATCCTTGATATGAATAAGAAATAACACTGGCCCAAGTACAGTTCCTCTGCATTATGACTGCAGATGGGCCCCAGCTCTTTTTGTAATGCGCATACCACTCTTAACTTTAGTGTCTGAGCACGGAAGCTTGCTTAGGCATGTGATGCCCTTTTTCGTCTAGCGGTTACATTTTGTAGATACACCTGTGTCGTAGTGCATTTTAACAACACCCTCTCATTATCCACTTTGTTGACCCTTATTTAACTTGCACGTGTCAAATCCAAGGGAGACTGCTTTGTGCTGTTCGCCGGTAATATACCACGCCGGGTTTGAATCACTGTCGGATCCTTCTTTGCACGTCCCTGCATATACCACTCCCTGTCCGTTATTTATAGGTACTGCCTCTTGGCAGTTCCTCTGTAAATTTCATACTCTTATGAAATGCTGTCAAAAGTCGCCTAGATGTATAGTTGGCAACATCCGTTTCTAAACCTACCTTTGGCTGCGAACGGTTGTCTGACACTTGCGTCCACCCCGCCCATCGCCTATACTGTGCAGGCCTGAGAACCACGCTTGATTCGAGTTTGATTTGTACTCCGCTACTCATATGAGATGCGAAATGTGGCCATGGATGCGTTCCTGGTGATGTACACTAGGCGGCCAATGGAACCTGAACTATTCCACATTGGAAGCACTCTTTAAGCACAGCGCTATCACGAAAACTGCGCGCCCCTTCCCTCTCAGGAGTCACTGGACGCATGCCGCCGTTTATTCGGCAGCATGGGACGGACACGCGTCTTGTCAGCACTCATATCGAGCTCAACGGAGTTGCTACACCACCCAGGTCTGTAATGTGTGTCAGCTGTACTCCATAACGGCGCTTCGCTGACGCGCGACCATCACCAGTCGCGCGCGGGCTGAGTATACCGCGAGGACGCCCACCCCTACGCGAATTGGAACCGGTGACCTTATGTGGTTGCAAGCCAAACATGCGGACCACTCGGACACCGGTCTAGGGAACAAGCACACGTCAGACATTCCGATGTCCTTCGGCCTAAACAACGAACCACCTTAATGCATCGTCAGCATCAGCACGCGCACACTGAGAATTCGGGACCATCATACTTGACCAATGCATGCATTCTCATGGAGGAAAATCACTACAGCAAAATCTTCGAAGTTAACCACCCCTCTCTAAGTTGACTGTTTTTATTTCATCGCTTGGATGTCCACCTTGTAAATTTTATGAATCCATACCTCTGTGCGTTGACTAGTTTGGTTCAGTCCGCTGAGCAGCGAACTTACGGAGGTCTTACTGATTGTAGCCTTTTATTTATGTACTCTACCTACTTCATAGCTATATCCTTGACATGCATGATCAAATTCAAACGGAGGCCACTACTCCCTTACTCTTAGACCTGAGGTACTCAACCTACCAAGTACGAGCCGCCTCGTTGCCAGATGCTGATAGGTAACCGACCAACTGCAGTTTGTGGGTTTTGCTGGTGTTCATCTGATGCGCCGTTTGCGAGACACAGGGTCAGTCCAACACAACGCGAACGTCCTAGCGGATAATTTGATGGGTCTAAGTACAGTCAGTTGCACGCAGTGAGCCTGTAGAATAAGCCGGTGCCCGTACAACTTGGCCAAATATCTGGTTGTACACCACACGTCATATGGGCTAACTTATGCTGCATGCCTGTACAACTACCCCGGTCATTCACGGGTGTTAAGCCTGCAATCCCAATCCCTGATATCGTTGATAGAGCCGTCGATGCCTGCCAGATATTCGCGCTTCTAGTGGTCTGAATGAATTGTTCCTTGTTGGCGTGCATTCTGCCACTCATCGCTTAGCGAGCACAGTTATCCACCTCAGTCTCTATATTGGATTCTGGTAGTTAAAGGATAGCGAATCTACTTCGACCTCCCCCTCTCGGTGAGTTAAGTCATAAATCTGAATGCTAATGGCTCAGGGATGAAAACGGACGAACGGTCCTTTACGCATCACTAATATACACATATACGGAATTGAAGTCAATACCAACTTGGAGTGTTAGTTTTCTGTGATTTGCATGCTGCTCTGTATCTACTTTTGTGTTGATGTTATTCGCTTGCTCACGCTGCTTACCAATAAGTTAACGGCCAACTTTTCACAGGGTCTGTCCCCTACCATCCTGTCTGCAACACGGTCGTTCGCACCCGTCAATGAAGTTACTCAGTGGGATCCATGCGAATGAATCGGACCCTTCTGGCTGCTTAACCCCGGTTACCGATTTCAATCAATTGTGCAAGACAGTTTTCCCGTTGGCAATGTATCTGGGGCCCAATATGTCCACGGACGTGATTCTACTGGTAAAATTCTGCCGATTGGGTTACAGTTTTCTATCCGCTCATGTAAGTGCCTCTTATTCGGAATGTTTGCATTGCTCTTTTCCTTACTGTAGTAAAATGGTTGCATTTCTGATTTCTCTTTATGCGTGTACATCGTCATTGTTATGCAATATAGCAACTATCTGTGTATAGTGGCATTAATTACTTGCATGATACCTCAGCTCAATCGTTTGTCTTCAGTTCCACTTGTCACTGCAACCACGTGCAACCGCGGTACGTCTCTATCTTCATGACACCTTAAGTGGCTTGCGCCGCGCTGCCTACAATCTTAGGCGGGGAAAAGAAACGGTATGCATTCACATAGAAACAGTGGTTGTACTGAAGGTGGGACCCGGCGTTCCCATGTCCGTCCTCCGGTGGCCGAGTGATTTAAGCATTTATGACTTCTTATCGACGACAGCTCGACGATTCCAGCCTATACCGCTGCGGGTGACCTCGCAGCAACCGGGGCGCGCGACTACTGCTGGTCACGTGACTGCGACATACTTCCGACGTCGGCATTCCAGGATTGACATCACCTCCTTATCGTTAGCACTAACCGACTATCTACCATCCATACCATGAGAATTTACACGTTTTACGCGAGTATTAGACTCGTGCATAATCAGTGCAAACATACATACCACATGTACTCGCAACTGTCACCCCATCTATCACCCCATCTATCGACACCTTCTGCGGCACGGGCAATCATTGACATTTCATCTTTATCGCTTGATGCGTGTTTATCGCAGACAGCCATCCTGTCCGCATATACATACAACACGATGAAACTTGACATTTGACTGTGTATACTACCAATACTTGCAGTTATTGACCAACTGCAGGGCTCATTAGGCACTGCTATGACTTAGATGCGCAATGGTATTTAAAAAGAATGGCAAACTTTGTTGATATTTTACCCTCACTTGAACGTTGATATACCGAAGTACGCACGAGCACGCACCTTCCGCAATGCCACATAGATACAGACCGTTATTAACGTGCAGCTTACTTTGTTCAGTTCCCCTTGTCTGCTTCCCATTGCCTTGTGGGTCATATTGTGAAGTCAGCGCCCTCGACCAGTATTCCTTGCTAACTTCCATTTACTCGCTGCTTTTAAGCTTTTATTGTATTGCTAAACACCCCCCTCTCGTAGTGGGTAGACAACATGTATTGCTTGCACACAAATCAACTCCATTTTCTGCCACTGTCTCGTGATTTTCCCTGTTCACAAACACTCTCTTCTCAGATTAATAGGCAATAGTCCACTGCTGCATTCCACAATCAAGGTAGTAGGAAAGTAGCTCGTCTTGGTCTCCAATTATCATGCAAACACACGCACGAGATATTTCAGCCCTTCGACGAGATACACGTACACCACACGCTATCAATCTGATATCGCCTACTAATGACTACAGAGGAAATCGCTCTCCGGCTCCATAACCGATACATTACTCAGGCATCTTGCAGGAAGTCCCATTCTTACCATTATCTGTCGGTCGGTGACACGATACATTATTTTAGACTCGACCGGTTCTTGGTGTATTCGATCACGTTCTATAGTGGTCTGGATGCCATTTCAGCTTGTCATAGTTTCTCTTCACTTGCTTCTTTATGCAAACCTTGTTCCTTTCTATAAGTTCTTCGACCGAGCTAGCACAATTCTTTTCTAAATCTTCGGATTCAGACCTTGGTCATTCGCCTATCCGGTTAACGCGTGGCACCTGCGTCCATTTTAAGTTCATGCCCTTCCGCTGATGTTTTTTGTGAACCCAAGTTTTGAACGAATAACTGTTTAGTAACTTTTGTCCACCTTTTGGATATCCTACTGACTGTCCTTTTTAGAAACCTTATTGCACAGATGCACGTGGTTGGTGCATGCGCTTATCGATCGTCATAGTGTTCTTTCCTGTCGCGGAGTTGATTTTCCCACCTCTGTTATCTCCCAGGCACTACTGGCAAGCTTTGCTAATGGCATTTTAACATCATTCACAGCATCATGGTTACTTGTTGGAGTCCGATGACTCAGCTTTTGTCCCCAGTGCCGAGGGTCGATCGGATCTGACTCTTTTATTGCATAATTCTTCATTTTCTGTCATAACGTTTCTATACGAAACGATCGAACCTATATCTGTAGCCGGATGGAAGCGTAGCCTTCCTAGCTGTACGGATGTCGCGTCGATCAGATGAAATTTTACAGCATACAACGACACAATGGACTGATCAGTGCACCCACTTTGACAGTTTTGTGCCGATGCAACAGAAGTAGAACGTAATCCGACACCTTATTTGAAGAGCAATAAAAATATGCTCGGCAGATGAAATTAAGCATGAACATATAAGCATTCCTGGTACACAATAGCGCTAGCCGGAGCCATTTGTCAGTAGAAACATGCGAACTGACCGGGAAATTGTTAAAGTACAAACCGTCTATCTTTCATTGCCTTTCACTGGCAATAACCCGGCCACACATATTAGCAGAAGGCTTGGAGTTGCAAACAGAAACACGTGTTTCGCAACACAGCTGCATATTTTGTTCACTTCCAATCATAGTTGCTGTGGAAGTTTAGCCGCTGCATGGAACAACGAATGACAGACTGTCGCTACTGTTCTGTTCTGGACACTACAAAAATTGGAAATGTGCTTTTTCTGTTTTTTCTATTAGTGAATTCTACCTGCTCGCCCTAGAATGTCTTGTCTGACATTTTTATTTAGCTACTGTGGGCGAAGCCTTTTGAGCATTAATTTCGTTACGATGTTGGCTCATTCTTGCTTCTCATTGACAAGTTGCTATTCCGTGAAGTTTACTTTTATTTAGTCACACTATTCGTCACTTGTTGTTATTTTACAGAACACACGCTCTGGATCCATTGACCTGGTTTACCAGGGTTTTTTCAACCTACTGGACGAAGTACTACTCCCATCTCTTAGCATGGTAGACGCAAACTGTTGCCTTGCCGAGGAAGTGTGGCAACTGTTGCGATTTATGCCGTATGATCACAGGTGATCTGCTTGTTTCATTTCCACATGCGTGTGTAGCTTACTCTCCGCTTAGTTGACTCCTTCAATTGTCCACTTGCTTGTTTGAGAAACTTGCCCCTTAACAGTCCGGCATCCGCCCACTGCTTCAAGCATCACCCGCCTCTTTGCGAATGCTAGATATCGTTTTCTTAATATACTCTTTGCCAATTCATCTATCAACCCACCCATACTTGCTTTATAGTAATGGATCTGCTTTAGTTGCTGTTTGACCTGCGAAGGGTCGAACCAGTTCGACAGATCGCGTTAACTGAATGGACCTAATCATCTTTAGCCCAGGCTTTCAGCAGCTGTTCTCACACTTTCGTAGTTACATTCTCCATCTGAGTATCTGCTTGTTCCCGCGCGTGTACGCTTTGTGTTTCCCAGATTGTCCCGTTTTTGCTTGTGTATTTTTACTTAATTAAAATCTTGTTTCCTTCCAGGTATCGGCTATATGGACAATGGAAGCACACGAGTTGTCAAAATGAGCCGAAAATTATCCGAAAGAAAGCCCAAGTAGTAGTGAATGCAAAGTCTATACTAAAGTGAGTCTGCTTCCTCTCTTCAATATGGTTACTTCTACTGTTTCGCCGTCCCTTATCGTTTAGTATTTTGGCTAGTTGTTGTCAACCCATGAATTACGATTGGTTGGTGACATCCGGTTCCTGATTTACTCTTCACTGCAGCCTACATGGGGTCAGTCACAGCCTCTGTGCCTACACAGGGACTATGGATGGCTTGCGCTGCACCACACACAGCTCCATCTACACACCGCGTATCCAGTGTAAACCCGAAGGAATAAGACCGGGAGGCGTGTGGATCGGAGCCAGGTTTCATTAACGGAGCCGGCCCACACTCCTTCAGCATGCACAGCAGCAACATTCCTGTCTACCTGATTTGGGTGTCATACATAAGGCGGTGACTGGGCCGTAGCCCGTTTGACACTGGATACATGGAGCCACTCTTTGAGCCTAGCGCGGTCACGAGAACCGTGCACTCCGTCCCCCCCAGCAACGACTAGCTGTCTCATGGATCCATTCTAATCGAAGTGGAGGGCGTTTGACAGTTAGGAACCTTGTCAACATGTACATCAAGCGCAGCCACACCGGGGATACCAATCAATAACCAATACCTGAAATACAAAAAAACTCTACACTCGTGCACACGTACAGACCGATTGCGGCGACGATGTAGCATACGTACCGAATTGACCGCCTAAGTGGTCTGGGTTAGTAACTGGAATTGAACCGGAAAAAGCCTAATTGTCAAGCGCTGCGCTGATAATGCTTACGTATTTAGCTTACTCGGCTTATCTTAGATGTTGGCCCAACGTGGCGACGCTGGTGGCTTACTAAGCAAGCTTGGCGTAGACACTCTCGACCGCATGTGCTACAGCACAATACGCTCGACGTCAATGGGTTTTCTACCATTGACGCCTGTCGCTCCTGTACCCGTCATTTCCTATCCGCTTGTATTAGTGCTTCCTGCTGCACCTTGGCAACTACCCTCTTAATATGCTCTCGTCATTCACTCCGATCTACTGCCATCGCTTCTCCATACCTGAAATCAACATTAGTTCGTAGTAAATTCACCTTCATCATGTCCTGGTCACGTAACTTCATTTTTCTCACGTGCCGCTTCTCTGCACTAAGTTGTCCATATCAGAGCTGCTTGGCTATCCGTACCGAATCCATGCGGCTGATATGCCGATTCCACTTCAGTTGCCGCAGCAGAACCACACAGTCCACTACACACATACCACTGGGGTGCAGCACTTCTGTTTCTGAAATTGCTACACCAACCGATGAGCAGAGTCCGTCGTAGGTACTGTTGATGAAACCGCTCCAGATGTTTAACTTCTTACCGGTACATCGTTTAGGTTTCTCTACCTTAGAGAAGAACGGACAGCACCACCGATTTGTATACCATCAGCTTCATCCCAACAGTAAGCTGACGATCGTTTCACACCTGACTCCGGCGTCCCAAATGTGACACCCACTTTCGGTACGCGGATACACAGTTTGCTCGTCATATATATATATATATATATATATATATATATATATATATATATATGGTCGGTGTGCAGGGCGCGATCTGATCACGAAGGTCGTTGCCGGGGCACAGGCCAAGTCATACCTTTTTATTTTCTGTTGCCTTTCGTGTTAGGTTTGCAGAGTACACTTCCATGAGATTATAGCTATTAGATTTACTAATCCGCTCCAATTAAATCAACCGCTTTTTGCTATACTTGACTGATTGTAGTTGTTGTTTAACATGCTTGCATGTATGACGAACTGATGGAAATACCTTGGTATGTAAATCCGAACCAAAATCTGATCCGGTACCTACTCGTTTATAGCGTCAGTGTCTGTTTTCCATAGACACAGAATCTGTTGAATTGTACGCTTCGAAACATTGGTTTCGACACACAACTCATAATGGTTCTGTGTCCGAGTGCACACTTTGTTGGAGACTGGATTTCGAAGGTCCAATGGGCACGCGGTACATAACTGTAGCTTGACGCGAATTTGGGAGCCTGCTCTTTTGGATGGTTTACATAACTTAATGGTGAATCTTTGGGGTGGGGGAGGCAAGAAACTGGCCCGACATATAGGAGCCGCTCCTTAATAGTTTGAATATTCAAGGGGGCTCATCTTCTCAATGCGTCAGTTATAGAAGAATGTCTGTTATCCATTGCCTCTAAGTTACTTGCGTCTGTCGTCCTCTATAGACTGATTGGTACCTTGGAAGCCAGATCCGCGAGGTGCGAGCCGAGTTTCGTCGAAATTGAGGCTGCATTGACCATATCTTCACATTAAATTACTTGTTGGAGCACCTCCATGTTTATTGATGGTCTACATTGCTTAATCTTTTACCCATTTTGTATTGTGGCACATTAGTTGAGGTGTTTCTCACTCTCGGCTAACCTGTATTGATGGTAATGCATCTTAAGTAGCCATCATCTTTCACATCCTTTCTTACGGTGGTGAAGTTCACTTGGTATCTAACATTTTATAAGCAAGTGAAGCCACATATTGTGCAAGCTTGCCTGCCACTAATTTTTACATGCTGTCACTAATGTAAAAGCTGACATCACCTCGAAGTGGTTACTTTTGAAGGCAATGGACGAATTATTTCTTAAAATTAACGCTTGTCAGACGCATTCATCATCATCATCACTTTCTTTTTTATCCCTGTTAGCTCGTTCATCCCCATAATGCATCATGCAATGTTTACTATCTTCGAACCACATACTGCCACGGACGTAGCTTAAGGTGCCTCGATCTTTATACTGGGTCAGCCGTATCAGACTCAACATATGGCTCGTTAGTTTCACTTACGAGATAAACCTCGACGTGACAGCATAAGTAATTTTTTCTCGATGTTAAGAGCTAGTTGAGATGCTACTGCACACACTTGCACACACTGCATCCTAGGCCATTAATTTCTAGGCAGAAAAAACTTGCCAGCTGTTACCGACGGTACCAGTTGTATTCTTACTCTTCTGGTGATCTTTCTTCCATCTAGTTTTGAAGACGTTCCGTTTTGCATGCTCGTTATCGGCCATTGTCACATTTCTTTGATGTTCCTCAATTTAAATATCTGATTATTTGCTCATCTTCGCTAGACACCTCACTTGAGCTTATTTTCAGGAACTGTTTTGCTCATCGTTGGCCTTCACTTCTTTTGTGCCCACAGGCGCTTGAGTAAGGAAAATATCAAACCAATGGGACGTCAGTTGGGGAAGCTTTCTCACGGAACACCAGGCATTCTCTTTGATCAGGTGAGCGAACCTTTAATTCACAACAAAACGGTATGTTTATCTTTCCTTGTGTGATCCCACTCGTATTTCCAAGAATTTCTGAGGCCATTTGTTTTCCAACATACCTAGCGTGAATACTTGTTACGCCCAGTAGCTTTTCCCTCTTTTCATCTTTGGTTCCATTTATTCCATTTGTCGCACTTCCATCACTGCGCAATGTTTGTATCAAACCATCTTTTCTTTCCATTTTAAAGGTTTTAAACACCATTCAATTGTTCACAAACCTCGTTGGCCTCGTGGTGGAAGCCCTGAAATATGTGAGCAGCTTGGGCTACGACGTCCTGGCTTGTGAGTTTATTCATATGGACATTTGTTTGTCAAACTTCTCACTCAGGTCCATTGAACAGCACTATCCACGTGTTTTATTGGGCCCTCACATTTTTAATCCTTACTTACGTTTCGCTTTTTACGTGCCTGCAATCTTGGACAGCCTGTCCTGATACACGCATGTGGTCTTTTCCGGACGGAGACCTCGCAGTACACTCCACCATGTTTTCTTTTAATTACATTATTACTGGACATCTATTTGTGCTCCCTTCGATTTTTGATTGCACCCTTAGTGTATTTTCTGCTAACACTCTTTCCTTTCTCTTTCCCACAGTTTCCATCATCGAAGCCCTGACTGCTGATGAAACCAAATTGGAGGATTTACAACTGAGCCAAAGCCTACAAGGTGTGCACCCATTCATTTAGCATTTAGCAGCAACTTGGCGTTTGTTTTGCTCACACATGTCGACTGTCTAATGATCTCCTTGTTTCCGCGTTTCTTCCAACTCAGCTGTACCCTGTCACGTTCTGTTTACAACTACCTTCTTGCACTTATCTGTTTATAGCTCTATCCACCTTCACTGGGCTGTTGTGCAAAAAATACCAATTCGATCTCTCAGGTTTGCTGCAATATGTCTTGAATCAGCTAAAGGTGGGCAAAAGGTAAGTCCCCACAACCCCACGAGGCTCTTACACGTGTTTGCTCAACACTGTTTTTTCTTATCTAGTTCAGTACAGCCTTACTCGCCTCCTTACGTGTTAGAACATGTTGTATTGTTTGTCTTGTTTATCTGCTCAGCATACCACTGGTTAATTCTTCACCACGGTCACAACATTTCACTTGTATGGCATTAATGTACTTCTTGTGACAAATCCGGTTCCACTGTACCTTGTTACCACATCATAAATCAAGACTAGCTAATCAATTTTTACCTTTCTTATTCACCAAACTCGACCACTATGTCTGATCTACATTTTTATCAATTTCCTTCAGCTATGACTTGCAAGTTTTGCGCGAAATATTACTCCGAATGTCAGGCATAGATATATCTGAAGACATGACGGATGAACAATTGGAATCTATGTCTGGAGGCGAGCTTCTCCTTCAAGAAGGCGGGTATTATGCTCAAATTCGCAATATACGCAAGAACGCAACACGCCTCAAGGATGCCTTGATCGAGCACGATATGATTATGCCATTCATTTTCTTGATGGCCCAGCAACGGGACGCTGTCTTATTCTTGGATGATCCCGATCGTCACGTCAAATTAGTTGGCCGGCTTTATGATCAGGTGCGTCGCACTGTGATACCGGTGTTCCATGGTCATTTTTACTACGTACACTGTTCTGTATCCGTCTTCTGACCATCGTTAGGTCTCACCATGTCCACCGTGAGGGGTTATGGCGCCAATTCTGTCGTCTGACTTCACGAACATGTATTCAAACTGAGTTCTTACTCTCATTTCACCGTTTATTTACTTTTCCAATCCGGTTGTATGCTCGGTACAGTTACTACCTCAACGCGGCATTTTAAGCTCTTCTCCTATCTTGTCAGCTTCTTACCTCGCATAAAACTTGAAAGCAATCTTTTGAATCCAATTTCCCCACTCTTGTATTCTTTTTTAAATCTTAGACTTTTGGCTACGATTCTAGATTGTTGCTGTTCTTTTTCTCACAGTGCCAGGGAACTTTAGTGCAGTTTATCACTTTTCTGAGCTTACAATTGACACGGGAGGAAATGCAAACTCAATGCATACCCATTGAACGCATGATGGGAGAGTTTCACGTGCCGGCGGATACCGCGTTTTGTTTGCATCGCAGCCTTTTCGAGCAGAGAGTAGCAGTGAGTTGTGCTTAGATTTCACTGTGGTGATTTTTGCGCTTTCCCAGATTTTTTTCTGTTATTCCCATTGATTGCTACTCCGCAATCCCCAGCGAAACCTGGCTCTAAAAGCCTCTACGCTTCCTCTTCTTTGTTACTTGCTGTTACTTTTTTTAGCATGCTAGAATGGTCTCACCATTGAGACACACGAATTTCAATCGAGGATGCGGTTTTCCCGTCAGACTGTTTTTCGATCCTGTTATTTCCGCTTCCTTTTCCTGCTTCCATTCGTTAAGTCCCCTCTTGTGAGTTAACTTGTACAGCGGCATACTCACCGGTTTGCCAGATAATATCACTTTTCATTGTGTGATTTTCGACACTGCTTACTGATGGTAGACTTTTCCGTTGTGATCTAATTTTTTCCTATCCTTTCAAGCGGTTAATGGAAACGAAAGAGCGTTCCGAATCCTCAAAAAATGGCGACCATTCTAAATCATCACCAAAGGTTGGTTTACATTTTTAACATTCATCGTATTTCGACGTGGCAGTTGCGTCGTCGAAATTTACTGATGACAAACTGTACTGCTTTTTTTCGCAAATGCACCATAGTTTTTCGCTTATTCTTCAGTGTGTCTACTGTTTGCTTTCGTTTCATAGGCTCTTTTCGCGACCATCTCTCAACAGCTGTGTAATGAAATTGGTTCGGCCATTCGACCGCTGTATCCATCGCGTGTTTGGGATGAATTGGGGACCAACTTTTTTGTCACATTCTGGAGTCTGCAATCTAGCGATCTTGTGGTCCCGGAAGCTGCTTATCAGCGCCAAGTCCATCAGTTACGTGAACAAATTCAGCAAATCGAATCAGCTCCTACCGGTTGGGTATGTCTTTCGCGGACCTGGAACCATCCCCTGAAAATTTTATTATTTTCTCTGTCTTAGTATCTCTGTTGTAGGAAAGGAAGCATGCAATTTTTGTGTTTGATACTGATATAATTACTTGGTTTGTTCGCATCTTGTTTTCTGACACATTATTTTGCTATGGTTCTCTTTTATATTTCTTGTATTGCCGCGCAGATGAATGCATTCCTATTTGTGATTGTGGCATTTTCCAACTATTTCTGCTGAATCTAACTGCGGTTCGACGTCCACCTTCGCTCCACAGTAACACTACTTCGAGTTGAAGTGCACTGCTAATTCTTTTTCGTTTCCTGTTACATGCATCCGCCCTCGGCGCTTGTAATCTCTTCGAAGCCCCTCTTCGTATCCCCACCAGTTGAAGCATCCTTGCAAAAGAGTGATGTTTTCGGTCGATTACTAAAAATTTTCTTCGATCAGGAGGCATTCTGCTTGCACTTCAACCATTGACCACTTTTCACCAATACTTCGCTACGTATCATCCGTGGGTAAATACGCATCCATTTCGTCTGATCTACAGCGCCATGTTCTCCTGATTGTTGTCCCCAAACTCTCCCTCTCTATAATTGTCACTTGAGCGCTTTGTCTACGAAGCTGTTTACTCCTATTCAACGCAGACCTTTCCCGCCACCATTGTGCGCAGTACAATTTAGGTCTATGCATTTATTTGAGAGCATAGGTTATTTACTGGTGCTTCAACAAATTACCCCTTAATAAAATGTGGCACGGATGATAGCGGCACAGGTAAGCGAGAACTACTGTGTGAAGTCAACTTATTTGTGTTTCAAAGACATCCATTGGGGCGTGTCCTCTGCCCATGGTGTCCTGGTACGGAATATAGTTAAACATGGAAGCAATTAACATTAAGCGTTTTCATTCATCATCTCTACTGACTTACGCTATTCTCCCCTAACCTTCCGATCCTAGTGTATAAGGGTCCTCTTGGATCGGATGATATGGTATACTAAGGAGGCCGTGTTTTTGTAACTGAAACGAAGGCTTGTAACGCTTGTTATCTCGCAGAGTCCACCACAGTGACAGTTACATCGACACACCCAGCCCTTTCTCGCGTGATGCCTTCCCACTAACAAGTCTTACTTTCTAATTACTCGTACCTAGATACATTAGACATTGCAGAACTCCGTTTCCATCATCTAGGCACCATTCGGCTTAGTTACTTTAAGTCACGTTGCCAACGCAATAAATCTGAGTGAAGGTGACTTTAGCGAGGTGGTCTTACGAAAATGGTTCCAAAATTGGTACACTCAGGTGGGAAAGGTCCGCATTGGACAGTACGAGCCCGGGTACTGACGTATTGATGATTCCTTGCCTGTGTTGGTTTTTCATCATTATTTCTTTCGCTCTAATCTGTCTCATGGGCGACTTCGTAATCTTTATACTAGTCTGGTGTGCGTATTTTAATTCTTACTGAGTAGCAGCGAATTTTGCACTAGCTACTGTAGTTACCAAAATCTACTTTATCTCTCATCATCCGCCTGTAGTCTTATTTTCAACGTCACAGGTTCTACATCTCTCGGCTATTTACCCCGTGGTTTTGTTGAGAATTTATCCGATTCGGGGTCTTTGTCATCTCTTCGTTTATAATTGTGGGATAACTACGCAGTAGTGTAAGACACTAAAGTACTGTTGTGCCAAGGGGTAAGCGCTACAATTATCGTCATCGTCAGCAATTTTCCACCTTGTTCCATGGTCGATTTTCCAACATAGTTTTAAAGCCATGCTCTCCTCAGTTTGAATTATTCTTCTTGTCTCACGTAACATCGTCAACGCACTCTGTGTCCTTTGAACGATTGTGGTTATGTACCTTAATATATCTGTGCTATTTTATTTCCTCATTTTCGATCGGTTCGCTTGTTTGTTGAGACTTGTTTTTGTCCAAAGTCTAGAGGAATTGTGGCTCTGAATGTTAACCCTGCTTTCGGCACCAAACTACCATTCATAGTGACGAAAGATAAGGAATGGTTCCTAAAGATTAGGGACGATCCCTCACCACTAGCTACATGTCGGTGGCTTTTTTCGCTACCTCGTACCGGGATAATCGTAGGTTTCAAATCACGTAGAAATTAGTGAGTGTATACTGATGACGATTTCTAACTGGGCGTAGCAGACATCCCATTTTTCTCTGAAAATATGTTGGCTGTCTAACTGGAGATGGCCCTTACAAACCTCAACAATATCCTTTCAGTAGCAACTGCTCATGTAAAATAGCTTCACGCCACCACGTCGGTGAAGGAACTGTTTTCCGTCTTTCTGGTTGAAGCACATCACTAAACGATCCATTTTTGTCCCGTGTATTCAATCATTAACACGGTCACTACACTTTAGTCGGGGAGAGTAACTCAGTGTTGCCTTTGGATGAAGCTAAACTGAGCTAGTTGTATGTGACTATCACTCCATCGATTCCGATTTGCACCCTCTATGAATTTGAGAATAAACTATTTATTTATTTGTATTTTCTGCCAGTATTCTCTCAGTATCCGCTCGATGTCAACATTTTAACTCTTCGATCCTTTGAGACGCTCAATAGCTATCACTGGATGATTGCTATTTTCTTCCTTTTTATTATTTTCTTACCTACTTTATTCCCACTCCAATCTCATTAACTGTTGTATCGACATCATTACTGTGCTTTTTCCTGATTAACTGCTTGCTATTCTTACTCGTTTAGACATCAGCACGAAAAAAACGCGAGCTTGATCGTTTACAGGGCCTGATCGAAAAATTAATGACCGAGCAGAGTGATCGCCATGAGCACGTTGCACGCGTTCGTGCGTGGCTGCTAGCGGAACGTGATAGCTGGTTCCAAACTCGATCGGTGACCAAGACGGACACAATCACGCAGTTCTTGCAGTTGTGCATCTATCCACGTGTGTGCTTCACTGCTGCGGATGCAATCTATGCTGCGCAGTTTATGCATGTTCTACACCAACTCAAAACCTCACAGTTTTCTACTCTGATTTGCCTGGATCGTGTGAGTATTTTATCCGCGTACATTGACTATTTCACTGCTATCTGACCGGATTACTTTCTGGTGGCTCTTTTGAACCTCATGCATCGCGTTCTATGTCGTCCGTGCGTCTTCTTGCCTTCTTATAGCTACATTACCTTTTTAACAATTTCGCACCCGATCTTTCCTCTCCATCAAACGAATTTTCCATCTACTTGGGCTTATTACCGAATCCTGATTTCTGTTTCCTGACATCGGTTGCAGATTTTCAACGATATTACTCTCCCTACCAGCATGTGTACAGAAGACGAAGCCCATCGATATGGACGTTTCCTATGTGCCGTTTTGGAATTGGTAATGCGTTGGCATTCCAGCGAGGAGATTTTTAATCAAGAATGTGGCCAATATCCCGGATTTGTAACTGTTTTCCGCAAGGTAAGTATACTGTTTGTTCACAGCTGGGTTTGGAGTGCCCTCCGTGTGGTTGGATTATGACACAATCTCTATTGAGACATCGATTCACTTTGAAGTGGACCTCGATCATTCCGATCCACAGGAACCGTATCCATTTGTTGTTCCGAACTCTGGGTTGTGTGTTCAAGTTACCTTCAGCGTTATCGACTGCAACACACCCGCTTTTACTCTGTCTGTCAATCGCGGTCAGATTAATAGTTTTGTCGACCGAGTAATCGCACGCCATGAAAATACACAAAAAATCTCATCCACCTCTACTGGTTTAGCGCTACCGATAGCCTTTAAATCTAAGGCTAAGGACAGCAAACTGAACTCACGTGCACTCCAATTTTTCCTTTCAAGACAAGGCTTCCAATAACAAATACTATCAGTCTTGATACCAACCACTTAGAGACTGCAGTCGTGCTCGCTCAACATTTGTCTTTTTCATAACATTTCGTATCATTTGTTGGCACCCACTGCACGCTGAATGCTCTCTATCTTCTGGTCTGTCTGTCTGTCTGTCGATACCCGTATGCGCCTTTGTTTATTTGAAGAGAGGTCTGCGGAACTTTTTCGGAGAAAATTACCTTTGAGAGACAGCACGTCCGCAGCTTGATTTGCGCAGAGCAGGAGGGACACGCGTTTGTTTACGTTGGGAGAACACTGACCAGTGCTCAATGGTTTGTTATTATCCACCTCAAACTAGACAGCCCTGAGTCAAGTGTGTGCAAACCTGCGACTATAACTGTGGTTACAACTGCTGCGTTATCTACTACGGTCGAAAAACACGTGCATTGCTCCAAATCTTCAGAGGCTGCCTGTGACAGGCGTCAACTGAACCCCATTAAGACTGCAATCACATTACCGAGCTGGACTTCCTTACCACTGCCTCGTGGGTTAGACTATTGAGTCAAAGGCTCTGAGTGGAGTCCCTCAGCCGAACCTTTATGTACTCCACTGCATTGTGAACCAAATTTCTCTGTCAAACACTAGACGTGGAGCACCTCAAAGTAACCCTATCCGACTTGGCAGCCGTAGTGTATCCACTGTTTTGTACAGCTCGTCGATCATACTCTTTTGCTTTTCTCTCCCCTTGCAACTCTCTTCTTACCGCTCACCTGGTATCTGATGTTATCCATTTCAACGTCCGCACTCTGGGTCAGCTCGGCCAACAGACAGCAATAACTCTCATTCTTCCCTTTATTAGTACAAATTTATGTTGGGTGTTCGTGACGCATACAAAACAGCAACATCGGAACGTATCGTCGAATGCTCTGACAACGGCCATTCTCTATGCGTCTTATGCGGTACGGGAATTATGGCTCTAAGTGGTTTTGTCATAGTTATTGATCTCACTAAGCATGTAGAAGCCAATCCGCTATTGTGGATTCCGATAAACAGTCGCATGCGTGCGGTTCGACTTCCAACCTCCACTGGGATTGGTAACCACCGATTGAAGACTACGGCCATTTCATTGTCTCCGTTTATGCACCCACTAACTGTAGTTCGGAGGGCAAAAAAGATGTTTTCTATCGTCATCTCTCAACTTTTCTCGAACTGGCGTGCATGCTCAAGTGGGTCGCTTATTGAATTGAACAACACCTTGGAGGCCGTTTCGAGGTCGATGCGTGTCAAAAGGGTGAATACGTTTTATCCATACTCATCACAATCATTGTATTTGTGACACTGCTTTTCAGCACGACCGTGCACATTGTGTTGCATAGTGCACACGGAATTCCTCAATGACCTGGACGCAAATTGACCATATTGCCATCAGCTACAGTTGATGCACACCGGTTCAAGAGTGTGGTTCAGATCGGATTGGATACCTTGATTCCTCATGCGCACATAGCTGGCGCTTTCCCTCTTCAACGAAGCGCACAACTACCAAGCTTCTCACTTGTCACTTGAACTCACAGTCCGCAATTTAACAATATCATGACGAGCCGGCTCACCAATTGGCAAATGAGGTTGATGAACCTAAAACTGACTGGAATTGTCTCGTATGCGCCATGAAGAATGCTTTTGTCGCCTGCCCTACGCCTATCTTGAGACGTCCGAACTGTTCATAGGTGTCTGAAGCATCGGTCAGTTTGATCGTAGTACAAAGGCAAGTTCCACCTTAGTACTGTGTTTCAGCATAACGCCTGTAACACCTTGGACCATTATCTGACTAGGTGTCAGTATTGACAGCAAGCTGTGGTTTATGGCAGGAAAACCAGTTGATCCATCCTCAGTCGCATGGGCTAGCTTGTTGGTGTAATATTTTGAAGAACAATTCAGTGGACCTGCAATCCATCCGATTGCTAAGTCTCCTGAGCGCATGTGCGAACTCGGCTTCACCACTCCCGCTCCGAAAGAGATTCGTCATGAATACGCTATGTCCAAACGAAACACAACTCCTGCATAGAGATCAAGCTACCTTCGTCCATTTTTACTGAAAGATGAGATGACTTATTTTTAACTTGCCGATCCCCTCAACATCATTAAGAAGAGTGAATGGATGCCTTCAGGCTTGTGACTGTCAACTGTTATGCTCATCATCGAAAAGAAGGGTCTGGTGACTTTATGCGAAACTCATTGAGGTATTATCCTTACTTCGGTTACCTCCAATCTCCTCACGGCTATTGTCCTCCGACGACTCAATGGTTCTCCTGTGGGCTGGGTTAGCGGGAGCCATGCTGGCTCGCGTTTCCATCGTGATTACTTTTATCACATCGCTACTCCTCATCAAGTGTTAGAGCATAGACACACGGACGACGTGGTATGATGGTTTCCTTTAACCTAGACGTCGGCTTTAGCTCTGTTGGTTTTGCCTGTGGTACTGTTTGCCTGTAGAGGATGTGTCATGAAAACTCCTTTCCATTTTGATACCGATTTACCACAACTCCTCAGGCCAGGTAAAAGTTCATGAGAAGGAGTCCGCTGAGCCTCCCGTCAGGGTGTCATCTATCTTCTTATTCTATCGTCTTGCGATAGAAATGATCAAAAATGTCTCCGTTCTTTCAGCCTCTTCCGAAGTGGCAGTTCTGTCAGGTTACCGACTGGCACACCTCTACTATCCGGGCAATTGTGCTTTTCTTGGGTCATAGCCAGTAGCTGTTTAAGTTCTGTTGAATCGGTTGACGCGTTTTGCTGCACGCTGCAACTTGTGCTTCACATTGAAAGTACAAAGTACCATTAAAAGATCAGGCCGGTACGCCACTGATTTTTGCTATCACCGTACAGCCATTGAAAGGTTGATCGCTTCACTTACCTCAGTGCTTGTGTCACCTTTATTGGCCGCATCACTGAGGTGGTTGTTTCGTGTACAGTAAAATCTCCGAAATTGACCAACTCTGTGTCCTAACAACCTCTAAGTTGACCGTTTTTTTCTTCATTACTTGAACGTTCACCTTGTAAACCCATCCAGACCTCAGTAGTTGACCACTGTGGTCCAGTCCCTTGAGCGGCCAACCTACGGAGGTTTTATTGTATCATCAATACTCTCTGGCTTTTCAGGCCCTCAACTACCTATGTAGAAAACTAGACACCAACTAGTCAGTGAAAGGTAGGTTGTATGATGTTGTGATAAGGCCAATGCTACCCTGTGGATCAGAGACATGGAAAATTCGGACTGTGGGCATTAAACAATTGCTGTCTTCGAGCATTGGTGCTTGCGGACTATTGCTCACATCTGATGCGGACACCGGGTAAGCAATACTCTGGTCCGCCAGTTGCTTTTTGGCAAGAAGCATTCCGGTGCCTCACCCGAGTGTTTGCCTAAGTTCAACCGCTAGATCATGTTCTCGGTTTGCCCGTGGTCTGGCTAACTCGGCCTGCAGTATGCGTCGTGGCTGCACCAAGCTGCGTGAAACCGCTAGGTAGCCAGTCGATGACGTGGAACAAAGGAATCAGCCTGATCAGGCTGGTGCGGGGCAGTGTGGTGGATGGCTACCTCGAGACCGCTTTGGGACATCGCACAATCGTATGGGCAGTGCCGCTCTTGCATTCGGTTTCCACACCTAGCTGTTAATATTCCATCCGGATTCATCATGCTTCTTTCTTCATTTCTCTACTTATTTTATTGACATTATTTCTCATTTTCTCACATTTGCTATTTATTGGTGTTCTGATGACGCTCGTCGTGGCATTTGGATCCAACGCACATCGATGTCCGAATTACGGTTGTGTAGGTGAATAACGAACTGATGATTTCGTGGTTTCGACAATCCCTTGTTCTAATAATTGAGTTCCTTCACTTCTTGATTGGTTGTGACAATCGATGTGCCTTATTGTGTCCATTCCACTAATCTTGCGTAGCGCAACCTCCTTCTGTTGGAGCGCCACATAATTTAGCAAGTGTCCCATTCAACAAGGCATTTAATGATATGCGCAAGAAGAGTGAGGCATTTCAACTTCACAATTGATCCAGAGTAGACTACAATCTTTTACCCCTTGAAGTTGAAGCAACATACCATTCTGGATCGTACAACTGCATTCATTATTTGTAGCCATGCAATTGATACCTGCTTGTTTAAGCAACTATTTTAAAGGGAAATGTATGCTTTCGGACTGCGCGCGTCATTGCAGTCTGGCTCTCCGCTGCTTACTTGTCATATTCGGACCATCTTCCTGAAATATAAAGTCTTCTTTAACCCTCCTCGCCAATGCTCTTGTGCTCCTTTTTCCAGGGTTTCGATGCAAACACCAAGGCTGATCAGCTGCAGTACGAAAACTACCGACATGTTGTGCACAAATGGCACTATCGAATCACCAAATCCACCGTGGCTTGTCTGGAATCTGGCAGCTATTCGCAAATCCGGAACGCATTGATTGTTCTCACTCGTATTCTTCCCCAGTACCCACGTATTTTGCAATTTGGAAGCGCTGTCGAGCGTCGGGTTCATAAATTAAGGGAGGAGGAGAAGGATAAACGACCAGATCTCAAAGTGAGTGATCACATCTTAAATGTTTCTTTTCACTCACTCACACTCCATTCTTCTCATGTCTCATAACTATTCTTTGCTTCTCTTTGCACTAGGCTTTGGCTTTCAGCTATGCAGGTCTTTTGCGTACTCGTAAGGACAAATGGGTCAATGAGGACGAATTTCACTTGATTGAAAACAAGCCAATACGATCCGATCGTGCTCCTCCATCAGCCAATCTTGGTGTCCACGGCGGCTCAAACCCATCGAGGGGATCCGCTACGGCAGGAGGTTTTCCAGATCACACGCACACATCCGGCTTAGGCAGTGAAAATCACGTTGGCGGAAATTCCGACATTTCACAAGGCGGCTCGAATGTTCGTCGTGGAATCGGGGCGCCTGTGTCCATCACTCCTAAGAATATGCCCGAAGCGAACGGTATGTCGCCGGTTCAATGGCCTTAAACCTATTTGCACCGATTATACCACATTTTTCGTTGAGAATAACTACGGATTAACTTTCAACTTATGACTTATTCGTTTATTCGCAACGACTGTGATCTCATTATGCAGATCCTCGGAATAGACAACACGTTTCCTCAGGACAATCTCTCACTCCTGTTTCAACCGGGGAAACTAGTTTTCGCTCTCACACGGCGAGTTCGGTGGCGTCTACAGCTATCAATGGGCCATCCATCACACATTCGCTTGCAAGCAAACAGCGGGCCAGTCAGTAAGTCCATGTTTTTTTTGCAATTCCTGCTTCACTTTCACAAACTTGTCCAACCATTACCAGTTTTCAAGCAGAAGGCGTAATTGTTCCACCTATTAAAAACATCTTCTATTGCGGTCTATTACTATTATCATGCGGCTCTCCGTCATCGCACATTGTCACAGTGAGGTTTCGCCTTGAGGTAGTAGAGCGGTTTGCTTATTCCGTGGGTTGCAGTTGAGTTCCTAACGCGGTTGTCTCCTCTTCCTTGATTCTTTCTGCTTTAAAACTCAGTCACTGGATAGAATTGCTATGTGTTCTTGGCTCATCTTCGCTGCTATATAGCACCGACATCACAACATATCGCTGACGGTGTGAGAACGCAACCACTGCTCCCTAGTGGGCTATCTGTTCGTGACCATTCACACATAACCGCAATAAAAGTTATGTGCAATTGATCGGGTTCGCAGGCTTAACATTTCATCGTTCTCATCTACAACAGCAGCGGTGGCAGCAGTACACTAGTAGTTTGTGTCGATTCTTCGCAGCGGGACAGTATAAAAACTACTGATGACAATTGCGAAGAGAGAGGAGGAACCAGGTAGAAGCCCAAATGCTTTCCACATATATAACAGTTAATAGCAGTCACTTCTCGCGAGAAGCACACTGTCGCGGCGGCATATTGTGCCAAAGTAATACAGCATCACAAAACAACTTCTTGCCGTTTGCACCTCCATATGTCATGATTGACCTACTTTACATATCTCAATAGTCCGCACGCTACGAAACTGCCACCCGGTTAGGAGAAAACAGCCAACACCCCACCGGTGGTGGTTGTCAGCCATGTCATCCGATTTCTGTACACATGCACTATGTCTATTTCTTACGCCCTAGCCTGCGAGATAGATAGGACCAACAGCAGCCGGGTTGGTCGTCAGTGACTTCATTTCCAACCGCCAGATAAGCTGATGTTCTCCTTGAATCTTAAACCATCCGGTATTAGTTAAGTGATACATCCCTTCCCGGTAAACGATGGATAGGCATATTTGGCTCAGACTGAAGTTCATGCAAGTGATCTATTCTTGTGTTGATCGACGAACCATTGAGCACTCCTTTGCGCACTTTGTTATCACAAACAAGCTTGTGCCAACCGTCGCATGCATCTTTCCACATACGATGATCTTCAAACCGAAAAAACTGAGTCTCACTCGCCTCAAGTGGAAGTGGTGGTCTTTTAGGGCATTGGAAAACGATCTTTTGGGGTCAAAAGTGTGACAGATTCAGAAAAGTATTTCTTTCTTCGCGCAAAGTGCGCGCGGCGGGGTAACCACTGAGCTGGCATACGACTCATATCCCCGAGTCATCGAAGCCAGTGCGTGGCAATTGTGCAACTCAGCGGTCGACAGTGTGTCTGACTATAAAATTCAATGCCGAACTTTATTGTCACTAATGCAGTATAACCAATACACACCAGCGATGCTCCGGAGGCAGCAGCCTCCAAATATCGCTCACGCAAACGTGCCATTGTTTAACATTCGTAAAAGATCACTTCTCGTACCATGGCGTTGTAGATTCGGCCTTTCAGTGAAATCTAGAGGTCACATCTCTACGTAAAGTGTCAGAGGTTGGTGAAGGATACTATGGCTTTGGGGTTTCGCAAAGAAATCCCACCCATTAATCCACCCACGCTAATGGAGCTCCCACGGGAAATGAACTTGTCGACTACTTCCAAAGAAATGCCTAAGAGGATGAGGTGAAGCGTACCTGCTGATCTACCCTGAAAGCCTATCACTTTGAAAGAGCAAAGGTCATCCGGACCTGTGAGACACACCTCCAACTTGCACAACATGTCCTGAACAGCCATCGATGAAGCACAGATTACAGCGATATCGTCAACATGGTCCAAGTCACGAAGATGATCACCCGGGAGCAACTTGACCCCATTAAGCCCACAGCCTTTCAGAGTACCATCTAAGATGTCGTCCATAGTGAACTTGATGTAGTAGGGTGATGCGAGGCACTCCTACTTCGCCACGGATGATACCGATGGGTTGCGTACGGTCACCATGCACCCGCAGACGGCACAAGATCGAAGAGTAGATTACTTGATGCATGTTGACAGGCTTCTCGGGCGCCCCTTTTTCAGTACATAGCTGTAGATAGTAAATAATGTGTCAGCTGTACCCCTTAACGGCGCTTCGCTGCCGCGCGACCACCACTAGTCGCGCGCGGCGGAGTATACCGCGAGGACGCCCACCCCTACGCGGATTCGAACCGGTGACCTTATGGTTGCAAACCTAACGCGCAGACCACTCGGCCACCGGCCGACCAAAAGACCAAAAGCAGCACATATGTCCAGTAGGCATAAGATCCTGGGCCGAGTAAAACACGGCGGTGCACAAATATCTGGCAGGCCCTGAAGATATGATCAGTGCAGCTCCGACCTGGGTGTAACTGTTTGCTCTCCACGTTTGCGCTGTTCACGCACTCTGCTGAGCCTCCGTAAGAACAAAAACGGAGAGTACTTTGGACGCTACACATAGGAAGCTGATCCTACAACAATTGGCGCAGTCTGTTCTACCACTTTTTGAAAAGAGACGGTTTCTTCTAAACTCCACTTGGCTCCTAGCCTGGAGGTAAGCGGCTTGCCTCATAATCTTGCGGCGCGGGTTCGAATCCGCGTAGGGCTGGGCGTCCTCGCGGTGTATCCAGTCCGCGTGCCACTGATGGTGGTCGCACGGCAGTGAAGCGCCGTTACGGCGTACGTCTGGCGCATTATTATTTTCTATTTAAACTTTACTCGGAATGGATGACTTCTATGATGCTAACCACTTGGGGAGGGAAAGAAATCACGGAGGAAGGATGGGTATCCATTCTTGCAGAGCCAGAGGTTTGTGACGCTTCAAAAGATGAATCTCATACTAAATAGCCTCGGATGACTAGGTAGTGCTTACACATCGTGGAGCACCGTGAATACGAGAGTGGAAACTCGAGAGTAGTGGTGGCTAGTTGAACTGTTATTCAAACTGCTCTGCTCAATGCACAAACCGACACTAGCGATTGTGAATTGGCTCGCCGCCGGTTTCGCTTAACAATTCACGTACAGTTGGTCTCTTGACGCACGTGGATAAGTGAGAGAAAAGTTTATGGAAGCTCCCCGAAGAGACAGCTTGTTCCATCTCGATGGCACACCGCCTGGTTTCGTTGTCATTTCTGGAGAGATGTCTAAGCTCGGTATTGGTAACTGTGCATAATGAATTGTGCCACAAACCAGAAGGAATTGCTCGGTGAGTTTCCATAAATTGAATAGAGCGTGCGGAAATTCATTGGTTAATAGTGTACCTGCTGGCGGACTGGTGTATGGCACTACGGATGTGTGCCTAATTTGGTTGGACGTTTGGAACTAGAGGGCTGTTCACATTAGAGGCCAATGCGACCTGAAGGTCACTAAGAATGTTGGGAGCGACAACTTTAGTTACGTCAAGCCCTTTCCGGCGAAGCTGTTGGGTACTCGATAAAAATAAACCGTGGCCAGTGAATAGCCCTAGAAGGCGGTCGCAGTTATTGGACCTGCGAGTACCATAGCTATGCAGACCACCGAGATAGCGCTCATCAGCTTCGAGCCCACCAAATTATACATTTAACCCTCCGGCGGGCACCACGATATCCGTGTGGCGCTTTTCACATAAAACAGCGGTAAGTTCATGGAAGAGCTCATCTTTGTCTGAGTGCGGGCTGGAATCCGTAGGAGCGTACGCCTCTACGACGAACAAACAAACAGCGTTTGATAGCCTCGCGGTTGAATGATCGTATAGAACTTTCTAACCGAATTGCACGAAGTCGATTATTGACCGGTATCCAACTAAGTGGATTTCGCGAAAGCAGCATATACTGAAGGTTAGGGTTTCCAGCATGCGAGCACGAGCTATATGCGATTCTGCAGTCGAACCAGTCTAATGCGACCACTCAAGGGATCGACAAAACGTGGTCGCCATAGACAACTTCATGCCTAGGGACATTACTCATATTAGAAAAAGTTGAGGATGTTTTTTGGCTGGTCGCCATAGACAGATGATCGCCATAGTAGGTTGGACTGTATTTGCATGAGCGTTCGAAAATTCAAGGTGGTCAACTTGAATTGGGAACGGGAGGTTAACAGATCCCTGTCTGTAAAATTAGTTGGCGCACAGTCGATTTTGAACTGCTCACTGGTACGGTTAGAACTGTCGCTCAACACGGTGCTTTGTTGGGGGCTCAGGATTGGAAGGGGATTACCAAAAATTGGGTAGTTCAGCAAACGTGCAACGAAATATGTAGTTACTAGTACGGTAAAGCGGAGCGACGCGCCATAACGATGGCTGAAGGAAGCGAAAACAGAGTAGAATATCCAAGGTCTATTTGTCCCTATGCGTTGGGTCGGCCTACACCGTACAGGTTGCCCTGACCGATAAAGGGAGTTAACTTCGGGACCCGGCTGGAACCCTGGACTGCAAAAATCTGACCAGTAAGGTAGTGGGGCGATTAACATATATCGCAGACCGTCCGGAGCCGGTAAACAAGTACTGGTTAACACGTGTGGTAGCAATCTACTCAAGGCGCTCGAAGAGCCTCGAGTACAGCAGTTTCCAACTCGTCGCCAGATGCGAAGACAGTTGACAGTCAGCTGGTTCATACGCCTTCTTAGTGCTTAGTTGAAAATCCACGTAGAAGACGGTGACCATCGAGTTTGTTCATTCACCATCCGCCTTTAGGTACTCACCTTGGTTGTATAAGTGAGTGGGCAGTGACTATGGCTCGGTCACATTGCATTCGACATGGCGTCGTACGAGTTCTTGCGGTATTTGCTGCGGTACCAGGTGATCGGCCCAGAACCTTTTATGCTCCAAGGCGCTGTCACTGATCGTTCAAGTCTACTTATTCGTCTCGCCTGCGAAGCAATTGAGACTTGTTCACTGCTACCTCTACGAGGAAAACATTCCCAAATCCGCAACCTGGGGACACACTCGATGACATACAGCTCTGCGACGGGCAATTGGAGGTGTGATAAGTGCAGCCGCGATTTCGACGAAACCCGGTCTACTCTTCATTAATCTGGGCGCCAGTCAGTCTGTGTCAAGCGGCACCCAAGTAATTTGGAGTGGATAGAGATCAGATTGCCGAATTCTTAACGTGAAGTGACTGACTATCAATTAAGAGTACGCGAGCACCATGGCTATCTTGTTGTCAAACACAGCTGTTGCTGCGCGCTTCAGTACATACTTAGTGCTTCCACTTTGTCTAGTGCTGTTGCTGGAATAAACCGATTCTCCATCACCTTACCACTGAAGAACCATCTGGTTCGGAACCATCGGTTTACTTTTTGGGCAGATATCTCATTTATGTTGGTCACATTTTCAAGGTTATTGGTTTTCAAGGTCACGCTCGTCCAATAACAGTACGAGCCTATTAGTTGTGTGAAGGCTCTTCAATGCTGCCATGAATTCCGTACGGTTGTGAGGCGTAGCGGCTTCTCGCAGAACATGTTGATTAGAATATCAGCATGAGGAAAGTTAGGGAAAGGCCGAGTCGGTTGGTTGCTATCTTATCCCTTTATAGGGTTCTTAAAATCGGCGATTGACAAATATGTTTCATTGCTGTTACGGATTGCTTAAGCTAATTGTCCACAGCATTTCGGTGCAGGGTGCGTGGTTATTGATCCGAATCGAGCTTGCTTCAGTGCTCTGATCGTTGTTGTTGGGCTAAACTAAACGCACTTTACCCAGATGGCTGCAACCGCCGGATCTCGCAAACTGATCTGGTTTACTTGCCTACTTTACTTTTTCTGTCGGTTTACATTCTTGCATTATACACCAAATCTTCGCATCTTATCTGTGTGGCGCTATTTTTGTTATTATGCTTCATTCAACTATTTTTCATTGGTTAAAACGTTTCCCATCTTTCCCTATCCCATTTCCAAAGGCGGTACGACGGGAATATTGCCACATACTCTGACGTGGCTACCACACTTGTGGATGATGGCCAAGGTGAGTTCGTTGAGAACACACTTTAGAGTACACTGTCGAAGAAAATTATTGCAACTACTCTGCTAATGCTGGCAGTAGTTTGCGATCCCATTCCCCCTGATTAAACCCGATCCTCTTTTACAGAATTTGTCCTTTTGTTGGTGCAGAAGTTTCGAGTTGGGCTCCCAAACAGTCTGACTTTTTCTGCTGTCTTTTGGGTCAGGCGGTTTATTAAGAGACTTAAACGAGATACCCTTAGGTGGCGTTCTTCCAGCTAGATTGGTAGTTAGATCATCTGATGCACTTCCGGATCTCTTTCTATTCATGAACTCGACGACCTATTTATGCTGCACACTTAGGCATGTGCTTTGAATCCAACTAACTACTACTACTACGACGACGACAACCGACTACTACGACTGACTACGATTACGACTACTGTGAATACGACTACTACGACGCTGACGACTACTACTACTACGACCACTACACCAGTTCTAGCTGTCACTGAACAGCTGCTGGAATTGGCGGATCGATGCAATTACCTTGGTATTTGCATTGCTACTGGTGTTCACACCACTGAGGTTGTTACTTCATGCACCAGCAAGGTCCGTGTGGTTTTCGAGGGACTCAGTTATCTATAGCGACCGCGGGATTTCAGCCTATCGGTGAAAGGTATGGCGTGTAACTCTGCGATAATACCGGTGTTACTGTATGAGTCTGAGGCCTTGTCAGTTCACAGTGAGGCTGTTAGACGCTAGGACGTTTTTGCTAACCGGTGCTTGCGGAGTATTGCTCGCGTTTGGTAGGAACACCAGGCGGCCAATGCTGAAGTTCGTCAATTGGTTTTTTGGCAAGATGCCTTCTGGGACCTCACTGCAGTGTCTGCTTAAGTTCAACCGCTTTCGTTGGCAAAGCATGCTTTGCGCATGTCCGTGGACTGGCTTCCTCGGTGTGCCTTATTCCTCGTTGCTGCACCATGTTGGGTGAAAGCACGAGTCAGTCCCTGACGTGGAACAAAGGAATCAAGTATTTGACCGAGAAAATTGGTCAGACTAATGCGTGCCGTGTTCGTGGGTGTGGACCCCATGATGTTCCTCCCCTGTGGTTGGAGACCCTCACATCTATGGCGCAGTCGCGCAGTCATTGGCGTTCTTGCATTTGCTTTCTTGCATCTAGTTGTTACTTTTCCTTCCACCCTGATTGTTTTTTGCACACTTGTATTCTGATCCCATTACTTTTGCATTCAACTTCATTTTCTTGCCTTTACTGTCTATTGTTATTCTGGCGACGTGAGTAGTGGCAACTGGATCCCCCGCGCTTCGGTGCCCGGCTCATTGTCGTTTAACTAAACCGAATTCTCCCTTTCTATTCATTTGCATATCTCTTCCTGCCATTTTAATCAACAAGCAACTGATCTTGCTTTTACTTGGTCGTCTTTCTAACCACCGGTCTGCTTTCGCATGGTTACCTCAACTTTCACTATGTATGCCGGCTGAGTCAACGGACGCTTTAGTGTCACTCTGAGAGGTCGTATGCTGCATGTATACTGGGCCTCCGATACATGCGTATAAACTACTCATGTCATAATGGACCTTGCCTCGCGTTACAGAAACTTTGTTGTCTGACTACCTTGTTTGCTTTTGGTGACATTGTGTCTATGATGGTGTTTTAAGGAGCTCCTGGGATAATCTATTTTATCAGATCCAGTAAAGTAGTCGCGCGTGTGTGGGTTTCGGCTCTTCTACAATCTGTACACGATCTCTTGTTCTACTGCGTTCAGCCATCGACTTAGCCCGGTGGTCATCCTTCATCCGTATTGACAGGAAAGCGCAAATGACTGCTGTAATAGGTTAGTCCTCATGTCCAACGTCATATGTGATCATCTATAGTAGTACAATTGTAATTGATGCTTTACTGCAACACAGGTGTGACGATCTCGAGAATGAAGAGTAATTGGAGAGCATGGGACCCAGGGTGAAACTTAAGTGCGGTAAGCAGACATTGATAGTCAGGGCGCTTACATTTTGTCGGAGACATAACCACAAACAGGTAGCTGAATTTGAGTGCCGAGACGATCTTGCTCTGACTGTGTCCCAACCATTTGCAACACCTATGAATAAATCTCTGCTTGCACTTTTACTCCTATAAAGTGCAGAATACCGGTCGATCGATTCATTTTTATTTCTAGCTCCATATCGTCTGGTTGCACCCATCGGTATGGCTCGTGTGACCTTTCCAGAGCGTCAATTACCCCCGATTACTGTGGATATGAGCTCATCAGTCAAAAGCGGCGTGTGCGATGTCGCACTGCAATATGTATGGCTCAGAACTGTTATCACTGGTACCTGCATAGCTTACTCATCACGGGTATGCACACTGAACGTGTAATGCAACTACTTACGAGCCGTTTTCCGGTAACAATTCCCATGCTGCAGCACTTGCTTATATTTAGCACCTAAATTCCCTGCCGTAACCTTAAGGATCACAAGCCTGCCTTGTAATCTGAGGGCGTGGGTTCGAGTTTGCGTAGGGCCTGGCCGACCCCTCACAGTATTCTTAGCCCACGTGCGACTGGTGGTGGTTGCGTGGTAGCGAAGCGTCGGTGACGGCTTACTGCGGATGCATTTGAAGCAAACTGGAAACGCCTCCGAACTGGAGAGTTTCGGAATTGTTCTGCCACACTATTACTGTACATTGTGCTTCTGCTTCTGACCGCACTGCCTTCTCGATTTTCTGGACGAATATCACATCCGCTCGTGGAAAGTACTCAGTGCTGCTCTTTCCCCTCACTGCACTCCACGATCGGGTTCGTCCTCGTTTCTACTCATCAAGTAGCAATAGCCGCAGATGGGCGTGGAACTCGGGTCCTAATGGTTGACGATTGATGCCCTGATCACTTGGCCACTGAGATCGGTATACAGCGGTCTACACATTTTTATATGTTCATGCATTTGCTTACGTTTTTTCCGTCTCACCACCGTTTAACATGCACATCTGGGAACGTTGCATATGGCTTCATATGCTTCAGGTTTCTTTTGTCGCATCGTTTTACATCCATAAGTATTTCCTTTTGTTCCGGTGCCGCTCGTTTCTAACTAAATATGGCCGCATACTGCTTTATTTTATCCAGCTGTGACGATTTCTCTTATTTCGCCATTCCAGGTTCAAAACGGCGAAGGATGGATATCACGAATTCGACATCAAGCTCTGCTGTGACTACATCTTCACGACCTTTGACTTCACAAAAGGTGAGCATGCCACTTTGAGCAAATGAATCCAGTTCTTCGCCGCTACCCTTGATGATCCATGGCATGGGGAGCCGGATCCAGGTGTATCGCCTAAAATTTTTTCTGCCTTGTTGGTCGCCGAATTCGGCATGTGGTGAGCCTGCATGAGCGGCCGTTGTCTGTCGAATTAATCTAGCCCTGGACACATCAATGTGGTCAGTCGAGTCGTACACAACGGGCTCCGATATCCATGATCAACTATTGACTTTTTCAATGGCTCGAACACCAAACACTTCTGGGATATGTTTTAGCGTCATGATTGCCTTCTATGCGCTTTCGGAAGGATAGAAACTGTCCATCAACTTGGGATCAAGACATCTGGGATGATGCTTCCACTTCCACGTAACGCAGAATGGACCGATCAGCCTATTACTACACTTGTAATGTTTAAGCACTCTCAGCCGTCACCGCTATCGCTCTGGAATACGATAATCGAAAATCACCATAATGGAAATCGCTATGATCACGGATGCCACCATTCCACACCACTACCATCCTCATTTGGTCGTAATACGGTTCATCCATTACAAACTCTACTTTGCACCGAGGTTATTATGCCTCTCAAACTCACGTTCGGGATCTCCGTCGCTGTTTCGTTTCGAGGGCATCTGCTTTGTCGTTCACTGTCCCAACATTTTTGATGAATCAATAAGAGTGATCATGTCTTCAATACGTGATTGGTTCAACTTCCCTGGCACCAATTTGGTCCTCCTGTGGTTAAACCGGAACACGCTCTGGGACTGCAGTCAAGATGAAGGAGAAGCAAATGGGATTTCCCGATTTCCTCATGGCCATCACCTTACTTTGATTTTCTCAGGATCACTTGAAAGCGGATCATTATTGGCTCCGAACAGTTGACATTGCGCAGCTGGAAGATGCTTTTTGGCATACCGTCTCGTATTGGACAATATTTGTCACGTGGACTTCGCACATCGTTTCCAATGATGGGCGCTTGCTGCTTGTCATATCAGGCGATTCTCCAAGTGTGCTCACAGACTGCCTTTCAGCGCTCCCACTGACCATGCCACTATATGCACCCTTTCCCTATCGCTACTGTGAATTCCACCTCCGCTATTGACGTTGTCCAACTTTCTCTGTAAGTCCAGCATTGTCTGTTATAGTATCCTTCAGCAATTTAGCCTGACCTTTGTTCTGGCTCACACCTGTTGATGCTTTCCCGGAAGATGTTTCAGTTGACCTTAGGCTAGTTTACTTGCTGTATGCGACGCATCATCATCGGACTTACTTTCTAAGAATTACTAATGCATTATTTTGCTTTCATTTCGTGCACTATTTTAATGTCGTCAAGTGGTACTGACATCTTACTCGTAATCGACGAGTCACCAGCTCGGGACTAGTCAGCTGTGGCAATCCAACCTATAGATAACCCCTGTTGATTGCTTAGTAGAGGGGCGTGGCTGTGCCCGGTACCGGTGTAGCGCTAATATCCTCCCTAAGTTTTACGGAAATCATGGCGTTCATTGTGTCTTGGTTGCCTTGGAGTTTTGGCAGTGCTTCCACGACGCCTTTTGCTTACTGGGATCACGCATCTGTATCCGCATCCAACGCCCTTGACTGAACACGCTTTTCTACTAAACGGGAATCTATATTCACAGCTACCAAGGTAGTAGACATAGGAAGCACTAAGCAAACCTTGCTACTTCAAGTCGCTCCTGGTCTATCGAAACGTTATTCGGGCCGCGATTGAAATCCCACTTAGGTCATTTTGTCACTTGCTCATGCCTCCAAGTTTCTACACACATCGACAACATTCTAACATATCTTGAGTAAATACGGATTAGTCTTTAAACTTGTGTTCTGCGTTCTACTGTACTTTTTCGTTTGGACTGTAGCCTCTCTTGTATCCATGATTTACATTTTCATACGCGAAGTGTCGCTACTAATTACATCATGTTGGAACGGACCGATTCATGTACTGTATACGTTAGAACAGATTGGGAATGGGTTATCACTCCTGTACCACTCTCTTATACCATGTCATGGAGTTGTCGATATTAATAACTAGGGTCCCATCCTGTTGTGCGAAATGACAACCGTGTTAGTGCACATGTGCGTCTGTTGCATATGGGAAGTCAAAATCCCGCTACGCTCGTTTAGCTAATGGCACACCTCGTTTTTACTGTTAAGTGCACACTTGCTCGGACCGCTTATCACCCCAAGCTTGCATCGCTATTTTTACTATTCTGCTAACCACCGTTGTCAGGTGAAATTCATCTTTGCAGCTTGTTGGATTAACGTCAACGGAAATGCCGTGCAATTGTTTCTTTTTTTCTTCTGTTGTACTGTTCCCCCCCCCCCCATTTAACTGCCCAGCGCGACTTATCGGCCGGTGGCCGAGTTGTCTGCGCGCCTGGTTTGCAATCGTAAGGTTATTGGTTCGAATCCGCGTAGGGGTTGGCGTTCTCGCCGGATACTCAGCCCACGCGCGACTGGTCGTGGTCGCGCGGCAGGGAAGCGCCGTTACTTCTATCGCTGAGACATCAATTAATTAATTAATTAACGGAGTACGACGGATTGCTTACTTGAACTTTTTTCCAAACTACTCTAAGTGGCACTTTCCAGGTGTCTATCAAACGACTCGTACCATACGCTCACTGGTTCCGCTTTAGCCGACATCACATTCTCCTCTTTTGAATTGGATATTGTGGTGTGCTTGATCGCTTCCTGTCCCTGGAACTCATTCATGTGTTTCAAACCAATCGTTTCTGCGATCAGGTCTCTGTTCATCTTCCTAGGCAGCTGCATTGCTACCGCTGACAACTCATCCGAGTCTTCTGTTTTCTTGTCGTTATGACTAGTGTGCATTCTCAAGGACCTGTTCACTTCTGCAAACAAGAGGATTTTATTGTTAGATTTCCTGGTACTCATCGTGTGTTTGCTTGCAACACACAATCCCACTTGAGACCACAAGCAGCTTGCAAATTCAGCAGGAAGTGACTATATGCCGCAACGAACGTCGACGCCTTGAAATTTTCAGTCAGTATTTTCGTTCTTTGTTTTTCGTCTGTGGTTTACCAATTAGGGTTGATGACCAACGGTACATTCTGTCCCGTAACTCTCACCAACAAACTTTCGTGTCCCTCTTACCTTTTGCTTTTCACTTGGTCCCCTTTATGGTTTATACAATCGCCCATCTGAGAGGCTTGCTGTGTTAAATGATAGACAGGTGCGCGAAGGGCGTTACCTGACCATCGGGAGCGGTGCAGGTGTGTCAAGTGATGTGCTACATCGTTATGTAGCCCGTCACTCAACATCAGCTGGTGGGTTTCGCACCTGTTCATTCGTTACCGCAGTAACTATAAGTCGGGTTTGTAGGCATTAGGGCACAGCTACACCCAAGTCCAACGGACACTGGCCCTCAAGTAACCATCCACGAAACGGTGGTCGCAAGTTGCTTTTTCGCCTATCGTAGGATCATTTGTTTCTTGCCTAGACCTGCAACTATATTCATTCGTGGTAGTTGTTCACTAGTCTGTGTCATCGTCACGTCCTGTGCTGCCCGATTAAGTTCTCTGACCCACGTTGTTCGTGCACCTCTCTTATTTTTGGCCACATTCACCTTGGTTCATAATAGTCCGCGTCAATTCTACGTTTTCTCTCTGGCCGGTACAGTGGACGGCACTTGAGCGGCATTCTGTCCCGCGTCGGTTCCGTTCACCGGACCACCAGCTGCCATCACACTCGCCATTCATGTTTCGCCGCTGTTTCAACGCACACACACGGACACACATACCTGTTTGAATGCAGACAAATTGAAGGGAAAAATGCTGTCTAACAGAAAAAAGACTGCGCAGTGGGTTGTAGCATTTTGATGTTTTACACCAGCCAGTTTTAGTTTCGTTAGCTTCTATAACATCCAAAACTTCCGTCCACTCTGCTTCCACCTCACGTGATCTCAAATTCTGGAGACGGACTGAGCCATTTGATACTAGACATGATGCAAACTTTTTCATGTTTATTTTCCACGTCGTCGATTGTCTTCCGCAATACTTTTTTCTCTGGCATCCGGAGGACCAACTAATGCACAACTATGAACGCGAAAGACTGGTATGCGCAGCACACGCTAGAACCAACACAACCAGTGTGGGGGAATGTAGCCCTGGAGATATGGACTGTTCGTTCCGAGTAGTCGGCACTAACTTCTGTGTTGCTTTCACAGGGCTGCCACCGCACACGAGCAATTCTTCGCAAACAACATCCCTCTACAGCTGACAGCAGGTTCAAATCTTCTACGCGAACAGACCATGTCTCGGTCGTACAACAAGACTACACAGACCGTGGAACTGTATACACTACCCTTAAGCTTGACACTGACAAGCAACGATGCCATAAGTCTAATAATTTTCTGAATGCAAACCAATCTCTATCAGTGCATTGTAATGTTTAAGTTCTGACGCAGGCACTTTAATTTGGATGATGCAGAATACCTTAGTTACCCATCGCTAAGCGTCCCAAATGTTTTAGACCTCAGACTGATGTCATGAGCAAAATCCATGCCTGGGGCTTTTTCTCCCAAGGAGAAACTCAACACCGCAGTTCTGAGCTTCTTCCACTGCCGGTGTAGAACCATGAGTACGAGAACCTTCACTACGGAACCTTGACTTGATGCGATGGTTTGCGTGTCAGCGATCTACTAAGCAATGCTGAGTGGCACTTTTTACACCTTCAGAGCCACTCATACAAGATTAGTCAATGGTTAAAAGACTGAAAAATTCAGTCACGTGCTCCACTATGCTAGCGGTTGGAGTGAGAGTGGCTTCTTGTTCCTTTGAATGGACTCTGTGTGTCCCAGTTTCAAAACTCCGTTGCATTTCGGGCAGGTTTTCGAACCGAAGGCTTTGGTTGAGAACCGTAATCGTTCTCCGGTCTAGGCAGTTTGGGCAACCCATGCACTACAACACAGTGAACTCTCCATATGATGCTCTGGTCGTCGCTTTGTC